AACCCACTTTTATACCCCAAGCATCACAACAACCCACTTTGTTATACCACATGTGTTTGTTCAGAATTATCTCCAGCTCACGTGTTATAAACGCTGATGTCATCATCGCCATGTCATGTTTAGCGTGAAAAGGGGGGTTTGCGACCTCACGCGTTGGCCTCAGGATTTAAGGGGCACAAAGTTGTGATGTTGAAAAAAGTTTAAACTATCAACTTGGGATGCAGGAGACAACAATCCAGAGGGTGGCAGCCAGTGGCAGGCCTTCACAAGTCACGCGACGGCTCCAATAAAAAAACTATTCCATTTTAATAAGGGAGTCGTAGAAAACTATCACACCCAAAAACACGCTGAACAATCGTCTGCTTCCACATCATTTATTGATGACATTTTCGTCTGGTGTCCCAACAGATTGGATGACGCCTCTGATCAATGAAGTTAGAATTAATGTTGTTTGGGACAACAAAAACGTTCAAACATTTCCTGCGTTAACGGAGAACGTCAAAACGGAAGTAACTAATCGACACGTAACCTGGATTTCCTTTGGATAACTATTTTTAGCAACCACCCCCCCCCCCCAACCACCACCACTTAAGGTGGAGTGAAGCGTTTTAATATATATAAATATATTTTAATATAATTTTGGAATTCCAAATATTTTTTAAAGCAAACCAATATCCTGCTTTTAAAACGGTAGGTGGGTTATAGTTATTTCCACTTCCTGTAATCTATTTGAAACGCTTCTGAATACAACCATACAGCTATGCTATTAATAAAAATGAACTTACACTCATATCGTCTAGCTCTGAAAATTAAATTAAAATATAGTGTAGCCGAGTGGTGACGTAGCTAACAGTTTAAATGAAATCACAATAAAGCAATCAGGTCTGAGAACTATAGTTTTTTACTGTAAGGTACAATCCGTTGACAGAGCCGACAGGAAAATCTCTCCCTCCTGCCGCCGACCCGACGCATCAGTTCCACACCACAATCCCCCAAAAATGTCCATACCTCAAGTCCCAGTTTGCCCCCCCCCCTTCCACACACACACAGTCACAGGGAACCCGCGTCTCGAGCTGACCATGGGTCAACCCCGGAGCAGCGATGGTTATTCCCGCGTGTAAATAACCTACATAAAATTTAAGGCCAGTACACGGCTGAGTGTTACGTTAAATGACCATGTATGTGTACGTGCTTGGGGTTACCCATAGCAGTCACACTATGACTATGAGTATGACTATGAGAGTGGATTCTCTTATTCCTATCTGTCCCATACTGGCGCATATAAAATGTTACCTAAAAGCAGTTGCAAATAGTGGCACATTGCCACATCAGTATAGCTTAAGATTCTTACACTAGCTTAAGATTCTTACACCAGCCTAAGATTCTTACATTAACTTAAGATTCTTACAACAGTTTAAGATTCTTACTCCAGCTTAAGATTCTTACACTAGCTTAAGTATCTTATACTAGCTTAAGATTCTTACGCTAGCTTAAGATTCTTACACTAGCTTAAGATTCCTACACTAGCTTAAGATTCTTGAACTAGCTTAAGATTTTTACACCAGCTTACGATTTTTACACTATTAAGATTCTTACACTTACACTAGCATACGAGCCTTACAATACCTTAAGATTCGTAGAAGAGAAGAAAATAATTGTTGTCCTTGGGCAGTTGCCCGGGGCGCCATCAACGATCTTCCAAAATCAGAAAAATCATTGCATATGGCTCATTGATCATACTAACCACGGTAGGCTCATTGATCATACTGCCCACGGTAGGTTCATTGATCATACTGCCCACGGTAGGCTCATTGATCATACTGCCCACAGTAGGTTCATTGATCATACTACACATGTTAGGCTCATTCATCATACTTCCCACCGTAGGCTCATTCATCATACTTCCCACCGTAGGCTCATTCATCATAATGTCCAAATACAAGTAAGAAAAACAATTTTATTTTTCATTTTAAAAAAAATATATATATAAAAAAAAAAAAAACTAGGTAATAAACTCATGAGCTAATCGCCAGGCTTTCCCTTGCACACATTTCTAGTATTATACTGAAAAGGGCGCCAATGTTAAGCTTGGCCGGGGCGTCAGCAAAAGTTGGGCCATCCCTGCCCGAACAGCTAGACAAATTCGACACACACCCTAACTTTTGTTAGTCAGTGACAGAATAAGTGTTTTTGTTTGGTTTGTATTTCAACAAAAAAAAAAAAAAAAAAAATTTTTTTTTTTTGTTTTTATTTTAAAAAAAAAAAAAAAAAAAAAAAAATGCATTGCACTGTTCTGCAAACCATTGTTTGACCAGTAGCCTCCCCTTGTGCTGTACCAAATGTAAACATGCAATACGTGACTAGAAGGAAATGAATCGATCTGAGAGGAACGTTTGTCGGCGTCTCTTAGTTCAAACAAATTCGTAACATAGAAGATGTGATACTTAAGGGGTGTACACTTGGGAACAATTGGTTCAAATCAGATTTATTTACAGATACGATCAAATGACATTTAATTTAACTTTTCTTTTTTAAGTTTCCATGTTGTACCATAAATGGTATGGAATTAGACTCTATTTCTTGGGTGTATATAAAGTAACTTTTAAATGGTATTGATTTATTTCTTTGGTGCATGGGCGCCCGTAGAAAACTTTCTA